GCGCAGACAGACGTGACAAGACCGCATGAAATAAAGTGACATTAAGCCATTTCAACGCAAAGGGGATTTTCACGTGCCAGAAATCCAAACATACACACAGATATATCTATATCTATATATATATATATATATATATATGTATATGGTGAGTCGCATAGCTCATGTAGCTGAAGCAAATGGCTGACACATTGTATAAATTTACTACCAAATCTAGCCAGAGCCGCCAGCCCCCACCGACAAGAGCCCGACATGGTCCATGAGCCTTCGTGAGCTCCATTGATGCGTTTTGTCTTGTTAAAATAATTGACAGGTGACCAGCGAGACAGGCTGGCAGGCGGGGTTGGGGCAGCTTGGTCCAGTCTAGAGGCTTTAGGCATTAGTGCAATTTATGACAATGAACCCGACAAATTGAGGCGCCATTTAAATTGATTGGCCGACTGAGCAAAGGCTGAGCGACAAGTTGAACACCAATTTTGGGTGTGGGCAGAATTCAAAATGTAATAATAATAAATTTGGAGAAAAACTCTTTGCGCTTACTATGCATAGCACGAACTGACGAGTGAAATAAAATGGAAGAAGCTAAAACAAACAAATATCATAATTAATTAAATAATATTAAAATAAAATGAATGAATATAAATCAAGTTTTTGGCACAGAAAGAGAGTAACAGTTGTTTAGCACAAAAGAGGAAAACGATCAACCAAAAAAAAAAGTAAATAAATTAAAATACAATAAAAAAACAAAAATAAAGAATTATTAACAATAAAATATATAAAGAATTATTAAAAATAAAATAAAAAAAATATAAATAAATTCAAGTTCTTTGGCATAGAAAAGTATTTAGAAATTTCAAAATTATTGCAGTTACGTAAACATTTGCAAATTAAATAAAGAACATTACTTTAAATAACATCAATAAAGTTTTAGGCAGAGCATAGCTCAGTTGAGCTTTTGCTGGTTACTTAAGTGTACTTAAAATTAGGTAAATTAGTAAAATTAGAATGATTTTAAGAAATATGTAATAATCTATAAGCACACCTACATACATATACATATACATTTATAAATGTTCATCATTATAGATGGGAATTTTATAGACCAAGCAGAATTGACAAATTGCTGAGACAATTTCTGATTGTTAAAGCTGAAGATGCGGGAAAAATAAAATATTAATAATATCATTGCGAACGTCATTTGTAGATAAATAGTAATAAATGTATGTGTATGCTTATAAATTGTTAAATACATTTATAAATTGTTTTCTTCAATTACAGCTTTTGCCATCCTAAATTGTCTAGACATTATATTGATATACAAAAAACAATTAGCCTGTTATGGGTTTCCTACTTTTTTCAGTTACAAAAAAATACAAAAAACACAAAAATAATGCATAAATTAAGGCCATAAGAATGAGTATAATATAATTTGATAAATAAATATATAGTTTATGATACAAATGATACCCTTGCGAGCATAGTGGAAATCCACGTTATATATCCATAAGTAACTATAAGAAAAAGAAATAAGCGGAGATATTCCTAGAAAAAAACACAATCATGTGTACCTATTCTATTCTTGGGTAGATTTATAAAAAATGAATACTTAACAATAATAATAATAATAATAAATATATGTATTATTTTTTTACGTATAAAAAATAATCTAGAGATTCGATAAAAGGCAGCTCATTTGCTTAATAATTAAGTCTTTTTTTTTAAATAGTAAAAACAATTAAGTTTTTAGTACGAAAACTCAATTTCAAACAGTTTGTTTGTATTAGAAAGCCATACTAGTTCGATCCATCCGACTCCAATTCACACATAAGTATTGTTGCATGTGTCGAACCAAAATAAAAATATCCTGTGCATAAAACAAAAATAAAAAAATTAAGTTAAATTCAGTGCTAGGCCATAATTTAGTTAGGGACTCAATTAGAAATGAGTAAATTGTTGGCATATGCAGCTTCAAATGGAAAGGACTATTCACATTGCGATTAGTCGAAGTAACATTCACTCAGGATTTACAATGCGAAATTAAAGTTATTGCATTAGGGCAACAAGGAAAGTTCCAAATTCAAAATCTTAAACACTTTGAATATAATAAACTTTGGCTTTTCAAACTGTGCCGGCAAGTGTTCAGCTTTCATTTAGTTACGACTTCGCCCATCAAACACTCAACGTAACGAACTTAATTTCAAATAAAGAAGAAGAAGAAGAAGTAGAATGAAAAGAAGGGAATTTTCCTTACATGAAAATGAAAATTCAGTCAGCATGGCAAACGGCAGCCAATTGGAAATAGAAAGTAAATATTTATATAAATGAAATTAAAAGATCATGTCGCCGGCATCTTAATGAAATGAAAGCTTACAGGACATGGACAGGCCACACACACACACACACACACACACACCACAGCCTAGTGGGCTAGGCGGCTAGAAAATTTGAAATCAAATGTTTTCATTAAATTTCATTCGAGACGTGTTCATGCAATTTTAATTAGTTGCCCGGCAATAAATTATTCAATGCCACGTCCAGCTAGTCCTGGCTAGTCCTGACAATCCTGCTTTAATTTCAGTGCCGTTTTTTCTATGCGAAAGTTAAAAAATAAAAATTGGGGTGCGTCAAAACATTTGATGGCATGACGTATATAAATGATTATTAAAGGCAAAGCTCAAAAAACGTTCCAAAAATAAAAAAAAAAAATTAAATAAATCAGTTGAAGGTTTTATTTAAGTTTCCTAAGTTTTAAATTCTTACAAATATTTATTTTGAGTTTTTCAACGGTTAAATGAAGGAATATCTGAATGTATCTTAAAATTTTATAATATATCGACTAGTGTTGGCAAAGGCTTGAAATTTTCTCCAAAATTAATACGTTTAATAAATATTTATGTGTTAAATTATTATTGAATTATTATATTTAAACTTAAATAAATTTAAGTTTTAGCATCTTAAACTTCTTTTAGTTTATATAATAATAGTTCAATATATAATTCAGGAGCATTTAAAATATGCATAAATTAAGAAGTCGTGCAAAATGTTTAAGACTATTTCCTAAATCAGTCACAATCGATATGACCTTACATTTCTTCCTTAATTTATTCTATTATATTAAGACCCCACTACGGTAGTTTTAAGAAAAACTCTTAAGGAAACTTCGCTGGATAATGCACAATATATGTAAACATACTCATAATGAGATAAGGTTATACAACACTAAAGTGCCTTAAGCAAATTTCTAGCATATTAATTATGCATGCTGTGTGTTTTGAAAGTGTTGTTAAGCTACATTAACAGCAATATTTAAGCTAGTGCTGTAAAACTAAAGTTCATACATATAAATATATTAATAATAAGATAGTTTTACAACACTGGAGGGCCTTAAGCAAATTTCTGGCATTGTAAATATGCATGCTGTGTGTTTTGAAAGTGTTGTGAAACTTTATTATGTAAAACTATATTAAATTGCACATATGTATACAGCATTATACATGTATGTATTCTAAAACACAATCGATAAAAAATCGAGAATACATATTAATATATTTATAATAAGATAGTTTCACTACACTCTAGTATAAGGCAAATTTATAGTAATGCAATCTCCTTATATTGAATTGCTCCCTTAAAGCGTTATGTATGTTAGTGTTGTAAAGCAAGATTTAACTCTCGATGATTTTCATTATTTACTTTTCTTAAATTTGTTCTTTGAGCTTTACTTTTATTTTATCTACAATATTAAATACCCTGTTACAACTACAAGTTCTCTAGTTCTCCATTAGCTTAACTTTCAAAATTTTCTCCGAACTAAAAATATTATTCATTCAGCTACATACACAAAAAAAAAGCTAGAAACGAGTAAAATATAAGTTTTAATTGACTTGCAACACGCTGAAATTTCCTTAGTATGACCCATACCTGTTTCTGGTATATCCCCGGTATAACCCCCTCCTGCTGCCCTCTCTCCCCCTGCCTTAAGAACAGACGACGTTAGGCTTCCGGCATTCAAATAGCCAAGTAAATTTCTTATCTTGAACACAGCGGAAGTGGATCGCCAAAGTGTGTGTAAAGCTGGCAAAGGGGAAAGAGAGCGAGAGGCAGTGTGTGTGTGAGTGTGATACAGACAGAGAGTGGTTGCGGTTTCATGTGTGTGTGTGTATGTGTGTTTGTGTGTGTGTGTGTGAGTGTGTGTTTGCTGGCATGTGGTGTGTTGTTGTGCGTGTTTTATGCTTTTGCGCCCTGCGCCAACTTAAATGCTAACTTATGTTTAGATTTTGGCCAAGCGCACAAAAAAGGCCAAAACCAGCAACTGAGGCTGACGCCACATTGTTTGCATGTGTGTGCGCGTGTGTGTCTGTGTGTGTGTGTGTGTGTGTAGCCCTGAGATTTGCCAGCTTTTTGGCTGCTGCAACTGCAACAGCAGCAAACGGCAGCAACTGGCAGCAGTCAAATTGCAAAAGTTTTTTACTTTAAGCATAAAATATTTATGTCTGCATTTAGTTTTAGTTTTAGCCACGTTTTGTTGAAGATTTCTACAAATTGTTGTTGTTGTTTTTGTTTTTGTTGCTGCTGTTGCTGCCACTTAATATTGCTGCAAGTTTGTCTTGGCAATTTTATTAAAACGATATTTACTTGAGCAGAGCCCCAACACGTTTGTGACTCTCTTACTAAATGGTAAATGTTTTCAAGACTCGAGAGCTCTTTAAAACGAAATTGAATACAAAAATTGATCAACTCGACTTGACTTGATATTAATACAAATTCCCAATCAAAGTAAAATCCAAGTGCAGCAAATGGGAAATGAAAATTTTGTCTCCGTTCAAGTTGCAAATCAATAAAAATAATGAAAATGGTTAAGAAATTGAGACTAATTGAAAATGTTTGCCACAACTTATTTAGCTAGATCGATGGCAAAGCTAAAGCTTTTGATTGAATGAATGAATGAATGAAAAGAGATATATATATATGTATATATTTATGTAAATTATTATATGACATACCAAGCATGGGAAATGAACATTGGACATTGGCGCATTCTGTAATAAAGAAAAAATGTAAATAATAAGCATATTATCACATTTCAATAAGAATAATTTGTGTACATTTAATTGTCATGTGTTATTTGATTTTGCTGCATTTTCTCTAACCCAATTCCCACACAGTTCCACAACAGAAAACAATTTTTATTCTGATTCACATTATTAATGAATAAGTGTCTCGCGCAGCGTGCATATGAAATTTCTAGTAATAATATCAAATTGGAATTAATACACAACTACGCTGGCAGCATATTAAATAAGTATTTTGATTTTGTGCGTATAACAAATTAATTAATACAAATGCGGTCTGTTAATTAACAACTAAATGGCCATGATATGTCAACTGCAGAGTAAAGTTCGATTGCGATTAAAAAAATATTTTTATATAAATAGGGGGCAACATATTCATTGACAGTTCGCTATGGGACGTTGGTTCGGCATTAGTCAATTCTTTTTACAAATTATGCAATTTTAAGCATGAAGTATCGGCTAGCAAACAAATTAATCAATATGTCACAAGATTAAAAAAAAAAAGTAGGAACATTTTCGGCTAGCCGAAGACTTAATACCCTTCCAAACATTTCACTTTTGCAGATATGAGAGAATAGTGAAGCTCGAAAATGCTGAGAAAATATCTTTGAAAACAGAATATTTTTCTACTATTCGACAGATCTTCCCTATATTATATAGTGATCCGATCCGATTTTGCATATACATATATTAGAATCATAATGGAACTAATAACTTCCCAGTTGGGTCAAGTTAACTTATCGTTACTTTGGCCGGTTTTGACATATGTACTGATTGCAACAGAAAGACAGACCTAGGTGAAGTTTTAAGACGATGGATTTAAAACTGAGAGACTAGTTCGCATAGAAACAGACAGACGGAGTTATGGAGTCAGAGATGTCTTCTACGCGTTACACATTTCACGATAAAATTATAATACCCTCTACAAGGGTAAAATAATAATAATAACAATAAGCAGCTATTCAGCTGCGTGAGGACATCAAAAATAAATTAAACTGTTTTTTTTTCATTGGTAAACAAAGATGGATTATGTTAATCAATGGATATGTTGGATATTTGTCAATCGAACGGCTCAAAGTTGATTTTTTAATTAGCGATTATAAAGCTAAAAATCTGTTATAAAACCCGCCAAACACTGTACAAAATGATATTTGTTTATAAGCTGCTTTGAAGGCTTTGGATTTAACTAAAAGCAAATGGGCAATAAATATAATTTTACTTAACAATTTATGGATTATAAATTAAAAGTGCCTAACGAACAAATTTCATTTCTTTTCTTGATCAACAAATAGTATTTTCATAGTCAAATCAAATACTTACCTATTCCATATTTTTCTAAGGCTTAAAATTCCGCACTCGACTTTATTGCTGAAAGGAAAAACTATATTATAATTAAATTTATTTATTAAAAAAATATATAAATAGATATATTCACTTAAGACAATTTATAATAAAAAAGGCATATATATTATTTTAAAACAATTAATACATCTTTTTGTGTTGATCTCATTATCCCCGGTTTTAAATATTATTTTAAAAAATATATGTATATCCGAAGAGAAGTATAAAAAGAAGTATAATAAACTAAAAATCTGACTCGAGCCAGCTTATTAAATAATTTTAAATTTACTTTAGAATTTGATTTTAAAATGAAGCATATTGCATTTTTCAAAATGTTACCATCCACAACAAAAAGCTTGCGTATCTACACACATATTATTTTCATAATAAAAAAAATCAGTTTATTTTCTCAACCTAATAAATTTATTTACTGCAGAATAATTTCCAATGCCAAAAAGCAACTAAACTAAACCTAAACTAGTTTTAAATAACATTTATTAGAATAGTACTCCATCTACTCCGCTTTTATCAAGCTATTAAAAAAAACTCACAAAGAAAGAAAACTGAAACATTTTTCACTTTCCATTTGTCATTGTTATTTTTCAACAGGGCCGTAAACAAATGATTTCCTTTTATACACTCATTTCTCAGCATGTTACCTATTAAACTTTTGTGGACAGGAAAATTTAATTAAAACCAAAGCACAGCTGCTCCTTCAAGTGGCACCCACACAACAGCCACAACAGCAACAACAACAATATTTTCAATTATAACTCAAGTTTATAACACAAAACTTGCTAAACCGAGTGGGAGGACAATAGCCAAAGTGAAAGGGATGCCAGACTTAAACGCTTTTGGCTTAGACAAAGCAGCGACAGGAGAAACAACAAACGCAACAATTGCGAGGCTCGAGGAACACGAAAGTGCGTTGCCAGATATTGGAAAAAATAAAAATTACTTCAATTTCAGTTAATACCGAATTCGAATTTTATCTGATTTTTCTTCTTCTTCTTTTATTGAAGCTAAAAATATCTTTGTAAAATAAATGTACTAAACAAATCAAAACTTTTCACATAACTTGCACATCAATGGGCGCGGCTGAGGGGGCTGGCAAGTGTATCAAAATGTGTGTGTTTGTGTGGGAGTGGGGGAGGGGGGGGGGGGTGTGGTCGTCGCTCTACAAAGTGGAGATTTATTGTGGGGCGCTTATAATGGCAAATAGTTAAGCAGGAAATGCTTACAAAATGGCAACAGAGAAAGCGAAAAGCAAAAGCAAATTTCAAGCTCAAGTTTAAGTTTAAGAAGAATCCTGGACGCATTGTCCTGTTTATTGTGATTTGTTGTTGTAGTTGTTGTTGTTTATCATGTGACTTGCGTTACATTCAACAATGAAACATTTTTGGTAGCTTTGTCCTGATGACGTGTCAACTCTGCCAGCGCAAAACTTAGCACAAAATGAAGCGCCAAAGCGAAACACAGCGTAGGAAAAAAACTGAAAGTAAAAATAAAAAAAACCAACTGCACGACAAAGTTTCTTCTTTTCCTTTTTTTTTTGCTTGCTTTAAATTGAATTAACTTGAGAGCAAGTCCGGGCTACAAACTGGCCAGGCGAAGGGGGGTTCGGTAAAGGGGTGGCGCTGCCCTTTGCACCGGCTAAAAACTTACGATGATTTATTTGCTTCACATGGCAAAGTTGAGTGTCACTTTTTGAGTTGAATGTCGGCTATAAAAGTCGAGTAAAAAAAATTGCCATAGATTGTAAGAGGGAAAAGAGATCAGATATGTTCGTGCAAGATGGCTGAAAGGAAATGGCAAATGGTAAATTTTAATCTAAGCTCGGACAAGACCTTAAGCTGCAAGTTGGCTGGTAGGTAATCCAATGAGAAGCTTGAATTTGATCATTAGTATTGATAAGGTAGAGCTCTATTTGGGTAATTGATAATGTACTGCTTATATCCTCTCTCTCTCTCTTTCTGTCATTCTCTCGCACACCTATTACCTGCAATTTCACTTAAGGCAAGATGTGAAAATACATTATAGGTACTTGCATTAATGAAAATCGCATAGAAAGGCAACATAAAAGGGATATTTTTAAAGAGTTATTTCCTTCAAATATAGCTTTAGCTCTCTGTCTCTCTCTATCACTCTCTCTCTCTCTCTTCCTCCCTCTCTCTTTACAGTACAATACAATTACTGCCCACGAGTCACCTGCAATTTCACTTTATAAACTGACATGAAAATACTTTACTTTGCACTTGAACTAATGAGAATCGCATAGAAAGGCGATACAGAAGCAATATTTTTAAGGAGTAGTGTCCTTCTAAATCAGCTTGAATTTGTTATTAGTGTCACTCTTACCTTTTCTTTCTCTGTCACTTCCTCTCCCCCTACCACTGCTTCACTCTCCCTCCCTCCCTCTCTTTCTATCTCTTTCTCTTACCTTATACTAGTTAACAATTTTGAGCATAATGGCTGTTCTCTATATTGTGTGTTGCTTTTTTATTTATGTACCTCAAAATGCAGTGACTGCAACATGGCAACTAACTAAATCATGGCGACACCTCATTGAGCTTTAACCACCGTGTCCTAACGGTAACTGTTACTGTGTGTGTGTGCGTTTGTATGTGTGTGCGCCTTGTGCAATGCTCCGTGAGCCATTAAAGAGGCAATCAGGCTGTTGCTGGTTGGTATGGAAAACGGGACTTGTTGGCTGTCTGGTTGGTTGGCTCCAAAAAGCGGCAGCCACTTAAAATTTAATATGTAACGGGCCGATTGCTTTGGCATTAAAATTTGAAGCGACATCGTTTGGCTGAAGAGACGGGCAAATAAGCCGCGGCTACAAAGCGGCACAAGAAAGCTTAACGAGCACACAAAGCCAAAGGAGCTGGTTTGGTCGAAGTTGGGTGTAGCAAAAAGTCGCACAAAGCATTTTACTTGCAGTTTACTTGAATTCAGAGTCAAGTGTACTAAAAAATAAAAAATAAAATGTACATTCTATATAAGGGCCAGGCCAAAAAGACGAAAATTCGCTGGTACATGAATTTATTTCTCCTCGCTTATTTTTCATCGGAGAATGTCATTCAGGCGGCGAGAGGACATTGCCAAAAGTCACAGTTGCCATTCCTGCAGACGTCGCCCACAGCGGCCCATCGGGCGTATGATGGATGCTTTAGATTTTGTTCAGCGCATTTCCTGCTGCTGCTGCTGCACATCATTCGCATCATCATCATCAACAAATGCTGCTCTGGTCGCTATGCTCGTCCTTGATGACAAATAAGCCAGGCAACATTTTAACAAATTAGTTTTCACTGATAAGCCAAAAACTGACAGAGAAAGAGAGAGAGAGAGAGAACTTAAATTGAAACTGGAAGTGCCGCTAAGAACTAAAGCCAAGCCTTAAATAAAAATTATTGTTTGTCCCAAATTTTTAAATAACTGCACAAACCTGGCGTTATTTAACATGGATACTTAGCGCACTCTGAGCCCAATAAAATAGTAAGTAAATTACATAAAAAACAAGGAGACATAAAAAATAAAATATTCTTCAAGATGATAAACAGATTAAAAAAACACGATAGGGTTGATTTTTATCTAATCCTTTTTTAAATCATATTTTTTATTTAACACT